TTGGTAGATTCAAGCGAAATGCTATATACCATACAGGGATACTAGATATTTTGTTCTCTTTAAGTGTACACCTTCCCTAATTATATACTCTGTCTTTTTAATTATGATCCCAAGGGACGTGCATTTAGAAAATTTATTTGACTTGAAAAACTAAAAAATATTTATGTAATTTCAGAATCATTACATAAAGAAAATTTAATAATATTTACGTGTTATCGGCGGTCTGAGAGCAAACAGAAACATTGTGGATCTTGGAAATATATTATTCCTCGAATTGCTGATTTTGGACTTAGCATTCAAACTAATATGGAAAAATTTAACCCAAGAAATTTGTGGAGACTCCCTTATACTAATGGGAGCATATACTAACGCTGCAGATATTCATAGCGATAGCTTTTGTTGCACAACTATACAGAGTCATGATGTATACAGAAACATTTTGTGATCCTATTCTAGAAAATGGACCAACTACTAAGGAACTTATCCACTCTATTTATCTAAAGATTATCGGGAACTGAATTCTTTACATTTTTTCTTTAGAATGTCCAAAAACAGATGAAGAAATTAATAAGCACCTTATGTAAGAAAAAATTGATAGAACAAAGAAAGATCCAAATTACACCAGTCGAATGTTTATCACAAAATTTCACTCTTATTGATACTGACATTTCATATTTATTACAATTATATCGAATATAAGATTCTACAAGTGTTCTATTTGTTTGTTTCATATGAAGTTAAATCTACCCTTAATGTTCTTTAATTCAGCATTTTACCTTTGGTGACGCAAAAACAGAACTGGAGAGTGAAGATTGCGAGCGATTTGCAAGAAAAACTGCAGATAGCTGAACTTAACACGAATAACAATTTACTCGCGAATCATTACTCTCTTGTCAAATTTATATCTTTTATGTATACATGTATTAGTTTATTTATATCATTTATTTATTACTTTCAGCGCGAAATCATTTTTTTACTTCAAATTTTTCATTCGTATAAAGAAGTTTTTATACTACGCGCCACTGATTCAGACACGTGTACGAGATCACAATTCATTTCTTATTCAGTTATACATTTAAAGTTGGGTATGTGTCTCTTGTTATCGTTATTGTCATAAATCGGTCTGATTTATAAAAAAAAAGTTCTTATTATATATTCCAAAGGTACTCTAATAAATTGTATTGAATAAAGTAAACAAGTGACGTAAAATTACAAAGCATATGAATAAAATGAAATAAAGAGTCTATTAATTTAATTATAAAAATTAATCATCTATTCGAACTATTTCATAGTTTTGTAAAGCATTAGTCATATTTTGTTCTCTTAAGACACTCTTTAATTTCTTCTCTGTTTTGATATATTCTAAAGTGCTATGGTATTGAATTCGGTTCTCACCTTCACTTAATATAGTCATTATCGTGTATCGAGTCAAATAATGTAGTCAAGTTCCTTCTATCTTCCGAAATAGGATCCTAATAATAAATTTGCACAGCAAGAAATATTATTTGGTATCGTAGGCATACTCCGTTATAGATGTCCAACACAAGATTTGTATATAATCACACTCCGCTAGTACGTTAGTCACAACCTCGTACATACTCATCCCAAAACTATACATACATACAATGGCTGCCAAAAGTTTTGCATCACCTAAACGACAGATTTAAAAATTTAATAACTTTACACACACATATATATTGAAAACCCATAAATTTAAATTTATATAAAACATCTCTCCAGAAGACTTATTTCTTGAAAGAAGATATTAAAAAGTGAATTTGTAGTGGAACTATGATTCCTGTACAAGTGGCATCCACACAACGTTTGTATACGACGACGGCATATTTCGGGTAAAAAAACTTATTAATAATCAAGAAAATGAAATTGCAGGACAAAATTTCTAAAAAGTCACATATTTTATCTATGAGTAAGAAAAACAGAACAAATTACAAGTCAAATTAAGAGAAATTTTTAGTTACGTTTAAGAGTTATTCAATACATGTATATTTTTATATCATGTGTTTTTCTATTGAACTTGTCACAGACTCTATTTACAGTGGCTCACAAAAGAAACGCAACACGGAAACAAGATAGCAAGATACGGATACCTCGCCATAGGGAGATTAAAAGGTGAGTATAGAATAACTTTATTATTGACAACCTCAAGTAATCAGTTGCTAAATTTTTTTCGCACTATATACTTCTAATCCTATTCAATATTCTATATAACCTCCCTTCGCTTTTATTACCTCACTAATCCTTTTTGGCATAGATTCATACAACTTGGAACAATAATTGAGATCTACACTCTTTCACGTCATTTGCAACTTTTCCCACAACTGGAAGTTGCCTCATATGCATATTCACCTCATTCAATAAATTTTCTATGGGGTTGGCATAATATGCTGATCTTTTAATGGACCACCTGACTTCTTTCAGCAATATTTTCAGCCGTCCAACCGAAAATTTGGTAATTGCTCTCATCGGACCAAGTTACGCGTCACCATTCATTGGCAGTCCAACTTCGATATTTTTTCACCCACGTCAACCATCATTTTTTGTGTGTTCGTTTGAGATAAAACTTTTTCATTTTATGCGAGTGAATAATCCATTTCTATGGAGCATACATCGTATGCTTTCTTCAGAATATATTAATTGGCATGTATTTCGCCCAGTCTCTTTCTCCTTTTTGTATATCTGGTAGACGGAGGCTGGATCTACTTGTTTCAATGCTGTGATCTCCCACATCAAATATCCTTCTTTCCTGAGCGTGTAAATGCGACGTGTTTCTTTATAGGAATTCTAGGCATAATAATAAAAAATTAATTAGAATATTTATTAGAAGGTAAAGATATAATTTTTTTAAGTTACAAGAAATTTAAAGCATTTGTACTTATCTTTTTACAGCTCTTCCGCCCACCTTTCCAATAAAAGCAATAGATAAAAATTAATGCATCTTTAATCAAAAAGATAGATGCATTTAAATTTTGATATCATCAATATTGTAAATATTGATGAATTATTACCCTCAATTTTTAGCTTTCCAGGTTCTTTCTACAGTGAGATATTCGTATCTCGTCATTTTTTTCGGTTTTGCATTTCTTTTGTAAGTCGCTGTAATATAGATAGATCGTCAGGATCAGAAAATAGTACGATAAATGGTGTGAATATTATCATACTGGTCACAATCTGCATGATAGGGCTTGGATTATGTATACATGTACAATATGTATGCATAGCACATGTAGTATGTACATGTATATAACCTAAATATGACATAGTTTTGGTCTAAACAACTCTCTATACTTAGACGAGATAACTTTTTTGTCATTGACATTTTTTCTAATCTGTAGCGGTAGCGGCAGGTCAATTAGTTTACAAATTTAGTTTAATATAATGTAAGGGACCGGAAACTTCCTAAACTTCTGTTTATATTATAGCACCATAAATTTCAACTTGAAAAAATTGAAGTAACTTGTTTTTGAAATGACCATTGCATGGAATTCGTCTACGATAGTCATCAACCGAGCATATAATCATCATCAAGATGATGATCTAAACCACCAATTAAGACAATTGCATACAAGAGTATAAATTATAATAAATAATAGTTAACTTGCATAATAAATAACTGTAATATTATTGTTCATACCTTTGTATAAATTGCGAAATATCTCCTTTCAAGTACTATATGGAACATTTTAAACAAATTGTTCATGTTGCTGGATTTTAACAACGACGAGCAGCATGAAATTACTGTGAAAATCCCAAATATCAAATGTGTTAATTCTGTAATTAGATGTATGCCACATCTGCATGTATGTTCAAATACTACAATTGAGACTAAGTGTTCATTTTTTGATATAAGCTTCAAAAATCCAATAATAGCAACAAATATCCAATCAAATATCAATATTACTGGTTATTTAGTAATAAGTTGGCATGGGAATGTATGAATGATGTGAATTCAATTACTTGGTGAACTGCAAATTTTACACAAGCAGCACCAGAATTAACAAAAGTAGCATGACATATCTTAACAATTCCAACGTCATCAGCAGCATCTGAGTGTTAATTGGTCAGCTTTTGCGACATTCATAACAAAAAAAGAAATCGTTTAAGTATATAGTGATCATAATTTGCAATCTTTTGGATGAAGAGATAAACGCAAATCAATATTATACGAGTATTGAACGTGACGAAAGTGATGTAGAAGGAAATATAGAAATAATAGCGAGCAAGAACTTGATATGTCAGATAATAGCGATGAAGTATTAGATTCTCGTTATTAATATGTAAATCGACATATAATAAATGTTAATTATCTTGATATAACGAATGGCCCGGGTTATTGGTAAAAATTTGTCAAAAATTCATTATATCACGATTCATTAATTAATTCACTATACCCAGATTTTTGGAACTCAAATTCATTTTATCCCGAGTTTAGTTAGATGTACATTCGTTACATCCAGATTGACCAAGTAATTGTATCACTATCGCTATTGATTATATCGATATTGCTATAAATACAGTACGCATACATGTAGTATCGGTATGTATAGTGTTCAAACTATACGCGTATTTGCCCATCATTAATAATGAGTGAAGCGTTGTCTCGGTCAAAACATGTATTTGTATAACAATATCGATATAGCTGCGTATGAAAAATCTAATGATTTTTTATACATGTTTATAAACAAAATTTTATATGCTTATACTTCCACCCGTGCTCCACGAGAATCATATTTCGGTCCTCCGATCCAACCACTGTGGCATTTTTTTCTAGCAACGCCGGAAAAGTATTTCGTTTAAATACAAAATGCTTTTGGGAGGTGTAACAATAAATTATGACGAAAAGCTATAAATAACTATCACAAATACTTTGTTTCAGAAAGACTAATATTAATTTATCTATAAAGTTAATAATAAAAATACAGATACAGACAGGATAGATAATAATAAATATTGTCAATATAATCTTTAATGGATAAAATCCGTTAGTTTAGTTTATCTGCAATTTCTTTCTCAATATACTTTTCCTCCGTATCATCTCCAAACGGCTCTAAGTCACACTTCAATTCCGCCGCAACCAAATCAGTCGGATTAGGCGACCAAGTTTTATAGACTTGCCGCAAGCTTTTGAGATCAGGCATGAGTTTTTCAGTAATGATTACCTCTTCGTCGGATAATAGACCGCGCATTGCCCATGGTACGTAGGTTCTATGTGGTTTTTCAGGCAATGAGTAATCAAATTCAGTGAATTTTATGTCGACATCTTTGTTGTCTTTTGATTTGGTTAGATGGTCAACTGCGTATCTGTGTTTCCATGAATAAAAAACAAATATAGTTTAGAAATGCCATGTGATAATATTAGTATTGAATAAAAATAAACCAACGATACGCACTGATAGGCTTCAGGTTCATTGTGTAAATCCGAATGTCCTTTGTCAATTAAGTATCCAATTAGAGAATCACTCAAGAGATTCAATAGACCATGATCGGAATAATCATTGTTTCGGATTCGAATAAGGATTCTTACTAGATCTACTATAAATCTTTTTTCTTCATACACCGTTGTGGCAACATATATTCCACGTTTAATTGACGGGTGACTCATATGGGAGTATAATGCCGAATGAAGCTATCAACAGAAAATCATTTATAATGTTATTCTCTTGATAAGTGATTAAATAGAAATTTTCAAAGATTTTTTACCGGAACTGCCTCATCATTTCCAGAAGCAAAATATACAATCTTGACTCCACCTTTCAGAATATTCGCTGTAGCATCACGATATGCTTGCGATATTGACGACGAAGACTTTTGAAATTCAAACATTTCCTCTGTCTGATCATCATCGATTGCTTCAGCAAGTTTCCCTGCAGGATCAAATCTCGAAATAGGTCCTTGCGAAATTCCCGCCATCAAGCAAGCGCAAATCTTCTGTTGGTTGGGATTGACCAATCCGACTTCAATCAATTTCTGCAATAAGAAAACACTAACAGGAACACCTTGCGAATGTCCAACCACATACAAAATTTTGGCATTCTTAAGTTTTTCACTTGTCGTCTGGTTTGCTTGTATTTGTTTCAAAAAGTCATCTCGTCGTTTTAAAACTGTTCCGTATCCGTTCAACGGAATAGATGTAATATCGCCTTCGTTTGGACCTAAACCCAGTTTTTGACGTACTGCTTCAGCCATCTTCGCGCAGAATAAACCCGAATCTAATTTTACAATATTTTGAAGTATTTTAGGTTGCCATCCATGAACACCGATTATTGCAATTGGTTGATTTTTATCGGATCCTTTAAGTACTGCTGCGAGTTTATTCAAACGCAAAATTCGTGTGATGGCTTTCATTGTGCCAGCTGGTGGTGAAGTGTCCTCATACGGTGGTAATATCATTTTTAATTTTGGAAAATAGAATGTACAATATATTTTAAAGTTATAAAAATTATAAATTAACAAAAATTGTCTAATTTTTCTAGTTTTTATGTTTTCTGTAAAGTCCATTACTATATATAGCGAATCTGTTTTCCGCAGTAATTTCCCTTCATTCTCTTTGTTCCCTTATTTTAATATAGGGAGCATTCCACATCATCAAAAATGATAACATAATTGCGCGGCGCGTTTGATATTGAAATTCCTAGCATTCAATTAAAGATTGTCAGATGTTATCTTTTTGCCTAAAAGAAAAAAACCTGACCAACCATAATTAAGAATCCATATTTTTTTGTCATGTACATGTATGAAAATAACGATTTAGCGCAAAAGTGGATGTTATCGTTATGGCGTCATCGGTGTTAAATTCCAGATATTACAATGAAGCCATGACATTTTCTTGATGTCATCGTCATATAGTCAGTGCGCTTTATTACTATAGATAGGAATGCGATAAGCGTTGTACCACATGATCCATATCCCTTTATAAGAGTTAAAATTAGGTTTAGTAAATCACCATAGAACGCCAAGTTGGGTTAAAACATCCGTTTTTTTATCTTTGATGATTGACAAAGAGTTGCGAACGCCTATTAGATATTGATCACGTGGATACAACGTTTTAACGCATCCCTATAAAATGGGACTCCATCCTCCCAAAAACGGTGAATTTGATTTTTTCATTGAAGTTTTTTGACGTTTACATTACAGCACTATTAGGTTTAGCCAAAATTATATTCGTTATGCAATTCTCCAAGTTTTGGAATTCATTGCCGTTTGTCAAGCCTCGAAATGCGCCATCAAAAGCAACTTTTTCCGAGTCGAATGCCTTGTTAGCATTCGGAAACTTAAAAGATGAAATATCCAAGCATCTTCATGGACCAAATCAGGTAGATGAATTGGGTGTTATCTGGGACTTAATTATGCAAATCATTTTTGGAAAGCCTATGGATGATTCAAAATTTCTGGTGAGCTAACAGTGTTTTTGGTCATTTTGTGATAATTATAATATTGGTATTACTTGAAATAATGAAAGCGTGTACTTTTTATAGATGGAGAGACTTATACAACTTATGGCTACGAAAAATTCGACCGATCCCGAATTTGTCCATTTTTTGGAAAGGATTCTGATTACGCAATTGTGGACCGACATCACAAAACCGCCTACCATGCTTGCTAATTACAGCTATCGTAGCGACGACGGTTCTCACTACAGCAGACTCGAACGCTTCATACAACTTGGAAAAGCTGGTTCTCATTATTCGCGTTTTGCTCCCATTAAGACACCCCTCAGTAAACTTCCTGATGCGACTCAAATCTTTGACAATCTCATGAAGCGTGATGAGAATGTCTTCAAAGAACATCCTTCGGGCATCAGTGCAACGCTGTTCTATCTGGCCATTATCATCACGCATGATTTATTCAATTCCGACCATGGTGATCCTACAATCAATAAAAATTCCTCTTACGTTGACCTCTCTCCATTGTACGGACGTAATAAAGCGGAACAGGAAAAAGTCCGTACCGGTGTATTAGGTCGTTTGAAACCAGATACGTTTGCCGACTCACGGATCCTAATACAACCACCCGGCGTAGGTGCCCTGTTGATTCTTTTTTCACGGAATCACAATTATATTGCAGACTATCTTTTCCAAAATAGTGAAGATGGCCGATTCAAGGATCAAAATAATGATGAGCAACTTTTTCAAACTGCGCGACTGATTAATTGTGGCTATTTCCTGCGAATTATTCTCTACAATTACCTTCGTACTATCTTTTGTCTCGAACGAACTCAGTCAACCTGGATCCTTGATCCAACAAAACCGTATGGTAAAAGTTTCTTGTTTGAGCCCTTACCTACTGGAATTGGCAACCAAGTCTCTTTGGAGTTTAACTATATCTATCGATGGCATCCGGCTATCGCAGAAGATGATGAAAAATGGATCAACGAGGAGCTTAAGCGCGTACTAAAAACCGATCATCCAGAAGATGTAAGCATGCCGGTTCATATAATTGTTCTTTTTCAAATTGAAATAATAATGCTATCATCCAAAACAGATTGATGTTGAAACATTCAAGAAGAGGTTTGGCGAGTGGCTTCGTAATCTACCTGCAGACCCTTCTGAATGGACATTTAATAATATGAAAAGAGATGAAAACGGCAACTTTCCAAATAGTGATATTGCTAACGAGCTAATAAAAGGAACAGAGAAGATTGCTGGTAAGAATCAAATGTACTTCGTATAATCACTAAAATTTGACTTTCATCAATGAAGACTGGCTAATTGGTTATATATTGGGTAGGTGCTTTCGGAGCGAATAATATTCCTTTGACCCTCCGCGTTGTTGAGGTTCTTGGGATTCAATCAGCTAGAGCTATGGGAGTATGTAGTCTTAACGACTTTCGTAAGGCTTTGAACTTGGTGCCCTATAAGTCATTTGAGGAAATGACGGATAATAACAAAGTGTTGGTAGACAAACTCAAAAACCTTTATGGCGACATCAATAACATTGAATTGTATCCCGGTCTCATGGTAGAAAAGACCAAGCCTGCTAATGAAGTCGGCTCAGGAGGGCTCGCGCTCCCGTTTACCATTAGCCGTGCTATTCTGTCAGATGCTACTAATCTCGTACGAAATGACCGCTTTTTCACAGATGACGCTAACCTGCATAATATAGCATATTGGAACTGGAAAAATCTTGAACGTCCGGACAAAATCGAGTCGTTGGCAAGCGGAGGTATTTTACACCAACTCATCCTAAAACACCTCCCTGATTGTTATCCCGAAAATTCGGCTTTTGCTCTATATCCATTCACCATACCCACAAAAACTATGTCGAATCTGCAAGAACGTGGCGACAACTTGTGGACGAAGATCGATTTTAACAAACCTAACCCAAAATGATGTCCTTACGATATTTGAAGTAACTTTCAGCCTTTTATTTATACCCGTAGGATAGCTAAAATATGTATTTATCGACCCGGGTTTCACTTTATAAAACAATGATGCATTTTGCGTGATCTGGTCGGGTATTACTTTACATGAAGGTGCGAAATCATTGTGTATGCTATTTTTCACGGTAAATTAATTTTTTCAAATCTCATACATGTATATGAAAAATGTATAACGTTTAACTTAGCAGTTATTACATGTACATAACTTCTATCATACATGTATATGAAAAATGTAATTTAACAGTTATTACATTATATAACTTCTATTTTCGGAATCTTGTGCTACGTAAGGTATCTTTATACATGTCCCCCATAATTGCGAGATTTTTTTTATAGAAAACTCTTCAAATGTGACTCCTCATATGACCCGGACTTTTGGACAATTTCGCGAAAGCGATTAATAAAAGAAGTCATTAAAACCTCATCGTTATATTATTTGTTGATACAGCAAAAAGACGCATTGCATCATACAATACATGATTTTACGATTCAGATTCAATTCTTTCAACCAAGTACATCATCGGCATGCTTCACGTTGTTCTCTCCGCTCTACAAAATGATCCTCAGATACAAGTTATTGATTCGAAGCTCGAAATGTTTGCAACTTTGGTCACTTCATCTCTTTTTCTGATTTTTATTACTACTTTGATTTTTCGAACTATTTTTCAATTGAACGCCATCTCTCAGTTGAATATCAGAACGAATATCCCAAGCATTTTGAATTCTTTGGAAAATCAAAGCAATGTTCTAAAGCTAGATTTGGAAGTAGTTCAATGAAATAATAAACTGGACAACCAACGCGTCACTTGAAAAAATGCATAATGTTTGCAGATCAGATTTGCAAAATGATAAAAATATGTTCTTTCAGAAAATCGCATTGTCATTTCGTTCACAAAGACATTGGAGTTTGATGTAAAACTGCTTTGAGACCTCCTAGATGTATAAGAGCAAGGCACCAATTTCTCGAAATAATTTTTAACTATTGCAGCAGTGGGAGGAAATTTATTCTCAGAATTATCCAATTTAGTCCATTGACGCAAAAAACAACGTTTAAAGTCGTGCAAAGAATAAATATCTCCGCATCCATTAAAGTAAAGCCAAATGGAATGTATGCTTCTTAATTAGGCGAATCAATGGTTCACCGGATTCGGAGATATTCCTATTTTTGTGAAAATTTTCATGATCTAGATGACACCGATGATAAAGGTAGCTTAACTAGCTCATTGGATGCATTTTTGTAAAGAACTTCATTCTAAATAAAGATTTTATTATAAACGAAATGAAATAAGGATTGAAAACTTGACATTAGTTAAAGTACTGTGGTTTGAATTTTATCGTTCGTGAACTGCACACGAGTTTTTGAATTTTACAGTATAATCATCAGAAATTTTTTATGAAAAAGATAATAAGTTTTTATTATTGGTACATGTAGTAATAAACGAAGTTAAATTTATGTTATATGGCTCTATTAGTACCCTCTCCTGTAAAAAATTAATCTTAATTTAACCTCAAGGATTGTAAATTATTAATTAAAGTTTTTAAGAAATTACACAGTGAATTTAAATTTATTTATTTGCGAAATAGATAATTAGTTCCATTGGAAAAAGACGGATTAAATCATTTTACAGGGAAGGAGCACTCTATGGTAATATAACGATAAATACAAAATCCTCTGTTAATAATTGGATAACGAGATTTGTTCAATTAAGCAACATTTGCCGTATTTTTACAAAAAGTTCGAAAGTTTCTAGATTATAACTAAATAAAAATTTTATTGATTATTCGTTACCACGCGCGCCTAATTTATATACAAGCAATCTTTATTTCTTTACTATTATTTTTCTGTTGCCGTCTCATATAATAACCAGTTGCACTTGGAACAGGACATTCTCTAACCACATGTTCCAACGATCCACATCGAAAACACCCCATACGTCTATTTTTATAAGCAGCATCAATTCCATGTAACTCTATCCATTCCTCCCACTCTTGCTCCACTTTACGATACAGTTTCATCGCCGTTTTTGCATCCTCAATTGAATCGTGTTCGCCTTCTTGGATTCTCTCATTAAGAATTATCGCGGCTAACTGCTTTAGTGATGGAGTTCGATATGGGTGTGGACAACGGTTTATAAAACCTTCGTAGAGAGATGTGTCGCGTGTGAGACGGCGGGGATGAGTGAATTTTAGAGCCTATTCATTTTTACTATGTTAGCTTATAATTTGAAGAACGTAAGCCAGATAATATTTCCTAACCTGAAAATCAAAAAACACTGAATGCCCAATCACATATTTTCCATGTAAAATTCGTCTGACTTCGTTCTGAACAGATTTAAAATCACGAGCTTAATTCCAAATAAAATCATAACATGATCAATAAAAACTGTCAAAAAAAAAATAAAAAAATCCATTTATTGACAAAATAAACAATAGACTACCATTAACAAGGCTCTCTTTCGTGACTCCACTGACAAAAGTACGATAATCTGTCACAACTTGATCCGGTTTCACGAACGTATCTATCACTACGTTTCCTTCAAAATCAACGACACTCACTCGTGCAAGCGCCGATTTTTTACCATTTTTGCCAACCCCAACCATCTCGCAATCTATAGCAAGAATATTTTGCTGATTTGCTATTGAGACGGTTCTGAATATTGACGTTATTGTGGGTAAACGTTGAGTTAGTTTAAGAATTTGAATTAAAAAATTTTGCATTTTATTATTTTTGCGATTAATTAATTAGCCATGATCAAGATTATCGTTATCGTTCTTTATCGTTATGTACATAGTGTCGATCAAAACAGTACTTACAGTGGTTGTCTTAGTTTTCGTCGGTTTTTTCTCGGCTTTTTTTTAATACTGTCACCAATGTCCTTAATAGCACCACCATTTTGTTCTTTCATATTGGAAACAGTCTTTTGTTTCGCTTTATTAACCACCTCTTCTATTCGGTCATGATTCAATGAAGTTTCCTAAAAAAAAAAATTGAATTGCAAAGAAATTAAGAAGGAAATTAATAGAATAAAATAAATACCTCGTGCTTCGCGTTGTTTAAAGACATAATAACACAATTAAATTATTAAAATATCGAAAAATTCTTTTCCTCATACATCTACAGATATTTATACCTGCCATATTTGTTCTTTGCTTAAATTAAATTTCGCCAAAAATAAGTACATGACATGTACACAGTTCTTATCGTTATCGTTTTACATATATTAATATGCATGTATGTGTACATGTATAGAAACAAAAAGCCGAGCCGCCAACAATGGCATAGTTCTTTTCTCGATATGATTAAGGCACGGATTTTGATTCTACGCTTTAAATTCTTATAGTATAGGAGCGCGAGACATTTATAACAGGCAATCAGAGAAAAATTAATCAATTAATTTATATTTTTAATATATTCGTTTATCAAATTTGTTATTTGAACCGAGTCGAACGGTGATTTAGTGCATTTCAGTTTTGTTTGCTTGTAACTAAAAATATGCTTTGTTGTTTGGGTTTAAGGAGGGCTTTTTGTCTACTTGTATACGTTACACCACTTCCAAATACATGTACAGTACATGTACATGAACTGTTTCACATACCATACTGTACATGTATATCATATCTTTTTTTTGTCATTTTTCTGTTAGACAACGCGCGCCAAATTGAAGTCGATTTTTTCAAAAAATGACGAAACTTTCTGAAAATACAGATACAATTGTTCTAAACGTTGGCGGAGTGAAGGCATTTAATCTTTTTGGAATTTCGAATTTTTGAAGTTACGAAAATATTAATTTTATTTTCTTTGATAACAGTATGAAACCTATCCAAGCACTCTCACAGCCTATCCCAATACCCTACTGGGCACAATGTTTCAAGAACGCAACAAAGAGCTACAAAAACCCACAAGAGATAACGAATACTTTTTTGACCGCAATGCACGCGCATTCCATTATATCATGGAATTTTATCGCACAGGCCGTCTCTTGTGGAATGAAACGTCATCACCATATGTAACACGCGAAGAAATAGAAATCGAATTCGACTACTTTCAAATGCCGCATTCGTCTTCTGTCCAAATTGAGAACAACCGAGCAACAATAGAAGATGCCGCGAAGCTAGTGGAAGATTTCACCGAGATGATGAAAAGCGTGATTGAGGAGCTTCGTAAAAATTTCCGTACGAAAATTTGTATCACCTTCCCTTTTTTGAAACTGGATGTTTTTGCGATCGAACCGGATCTTGGGAAGATAAAGTCATTGGTGAAGCCGTTTGTGCATACTGGGTGCCCGATTACGAGTCGATTTGGGGATATCATCAAACATAATCTTCAATTGCAATTTCACGGTTTAGAGTGTCATACTAGTGTTGAAACGATTGAGAATGATGTTCTTGTGTATCAATGGAAGATTATTGCTCCTTTTGCTTTTAAGGCTAATGAGATTCTGGCGAAGACTAATTTGAAGGATCCGAATGCGAAAGAATTCTAGTTCGATTTTGTCGTGGATTGAGATGAAACGAGGATGGTTTCATTAAAATAATGTTTAATAATAATGAATTTGATTTGGTGACATGAAGAGGATAAATTTATTATATTATATAGAATTATTATATGGAACAATAATTATTACTATAATGTAGTTTTCAGAACCAGACTTAATGTATGCAATTTACTTTTTTATAAATATTATAATTATAATTTTTTTATTTAAACAAAGATTATTTTCATAGAAAGTGAAAGCCTATGATTATATGGACTGATGCAGAAAGATTGGTACATCAATATAAAATTAATAATTGCTTCTAATAAAAATCATTCAAATTTTAAATTAAATAAAGAATGATCTAAATTAACTTTTTATATTATTTTAATTATTCTACTATACTTTAATTTAATAATAAATGAAGCATTACTTTACTAAAAAAAAATTATTTTTTTTAAAAAAAAAGAAATTTTAAATATTATCATTATCAATTTGCAAAATTAGAACTTTAAACTACATAAGCAGATTGTCTAATTTGATAAATATATATTTTAAATTTCATAAAAATTGAATCAGTAGTTATAAAGATATTAAGATTCAAAGTTTAGTAA